GGGTTTTAACTAAAACTTGCTTTTCCAGATGAGATTGAAAGTTGATTGTTGATCGGCGTCATCGAATGGTGGTGACTCGGTGTGGGGTGTAATAAGCCCGGTTGAGCTAATCTCCAACACACTCTTTTTATTTCTTGTCATATTTAATTAGATTATCTTTATATTCCCAAAAATAAGAATTGTGGTTTTTTTTTTTTAAAAGAAAATGGTTTAGTGGCATAAAGGTTTTAAGATCTTAGATTTGCCAATTTTTATTTTCCTTGAAGCAAGAGTCTATTGTAATAAGACTACTTGTAAGTGATATTTGCTAAAGGAAAAAAAAAAGGGTGAAAAAAAAGAAAAATAAACAAATATATACCTCAGCAATATCACATTAGTCTTTCTTTTATATGTTTGAGTGCCAACTTTCATTTCATAGTCTCATGTGTAGTAAAAAAGAACAAGAGATGAAAAGCAAAATAATATTAAAAATTAATTACACCCTACCCAAGAGACCCTAGGTAAAAGAATTATCATAATATTTATTAAAAATTAAGGTTTTCTAAAACATTTTCATGGAAGCCCTAAGTCAAGATAAAAAATTTAAAATAAATACAAATGTTATTCGATAACTATCTATAACCCCATCCAACACAACCCAGAACATAAAAATCTTATTTTGTACATTACAAAAAATTCTAAATTTATTGAATTATTCAGGAAATAAAATACCAATGGTGCTAGCTTTTTTATTACAAAGCATGGGTACAGGATATCCGACGAGTTTTGATTAGATTAAAGCAAAACTCCATGGTCCACAATCGAGACTATGGTAGATATTCCCCTCGTGTACCATGCATGACTCCACAATTAGGCATGAAACTACTCTTCTTATAAGGGTATTGAATGTTTAGTATTTAATTTTTTTTTATAAATAGAATTGGAGAAGCACGACTTTGATTATCACTCCACGTGTCTTTTTTCTTTCTATTTTTATCCCACTCTCCCTCCCATATGCTATCTCATATTCTCTCTCTCTCCCAATTTAATTAATTATCTATTTTAATTTTTTTTTCTTTTTTCTTTTTTTTTCTCTTCCTCCCACGTTTCCCCACTCTCTTTATTCCTCCCGCCTGCGAAAAGTCATAAAAATAAATAACTCATTTTTATGGTGTCATATTCATATAATTCTTAGGCCATACAAAAGTAAAATTAGGGGTAAATAGGCATATTAGGCCATAGATCTATTTTGATGATTCCAATCTGGAAAAATAATTGACTGTTTGTACTTCTTTCGTATCAATTATTATTTCAATGATCAACTCCTCGCGACCCACATTAATCTCTCATTGACTTCCATAAAAAAAAAAAGTAATTTTGTGGTGTTAACTTCATGTAACTTTTAGGCCTCGATGTACCCCTCTCGTTCTCTTTCTTCTCTTTCTCCCTACCTACCCTCAATAGAAAAAAGTTCCTATACTTCCCCTACAACATAGAAGATCTATGCTTCCCCAACTATTTAGCCATCCAATTTTGATCAAGTGAGTCACTCACCGTTTGATCTAAGATCCGAAGTCTCAAAGTATTTTATTTTTAATTTTTTTATACAAATTATATGAATACGAAATTTTCTATGCGCCATATTCTCATTAGAACACACATACAAAAATATTAAAAGTAAATTTTCGATAAAATATAATGACCAAAAAACCCATTGAAATTTTTAGAGGTATTTTGGTAATTTTATTTTATTGGGAATATTTTTTTATATATTTTTACAAGTACGAGTTTAATAGGGGATTGGATGCCCAACATTTGATATAAAAATATTTTATGTAAAAAAATAAAAATAAAAATAATGTAGAAATGTGACATTGTGATTGAGACAATGTTAGCCCTCCACTCAAAAAAGACAGTTGGATAAAAAAAAGTATATAAGTTTTATGTTGGAGGAGAAGCACATAAGCTTGCCCGCACATTGATATTTTTAACTCCTAGCCAAAAAAAAAAAGTAATTATAAAAGATAACCCACATCCGTCTCTCTCTCAAGATAAATCTTGCCATTCGCGTTTTTGGCGACTCTCTATCTAATTGTTTCACTTTTGATCATGTTAAGTCTCTCTCTCCATATTTTGAAGTATGTGAAGGGTGTCTCTCACAATAACTATAGAGTCTGCTTCATATACCAAGAATAGGAATGGTCATTTCAACTCATAATTTCTATGTCCTCCTATGTGCATTTTGATAGATTGTTATGGAAGCAATAAAATAGAGGTTCTATGTTTTACTTCCAAAGATGATAAGGAAATGAATTTGAGGATTAAGAATGTACATTTAGGGAGTCTTTCTTTCCAAGATGCCATCATGGAGATATTTAGGTACCATATTTATTTTTATCATGAAAATATGTGATTTGCATGAATTTTTTTAATTTAATTCTTATTACCATAATTTTTACTATCTTTCTATGTTATTAAAGTATTTCGATTTAGTTGGTTGTTTTCAAACATTTTATTTTGATGTCAATTGATATGGGCCAAGAGATTGCTAGATTTGTTCATTCGATAATTGCAACAAGTTCTATTCAATATTTTATCATTTTTTAAGTTTTTATTCTAGCATATTTTACTATTTGCACCTTAAATTTATCATATTTTTTATTATTTTACTATGAGCTTAATTTTTTTTCATTTAATTGGTTGTTTTCAAACCGTCTATTTTGATGTAGTTGATATCGGCTAAGAGGTTGCTAGCTTTGTTCTTTCATTTCATACATTTGTATGCCAACTCTAATTGATATTTTGTCATTTTTAAGTTTTATTTTTGTGTATTTTACTATAAAAGCCTCCATATACTTTTCTACTATAAGGTGACTATTTTTTATCAAAGTTTTTTTATATATGCCAAATTTTTTATTGCCTGTTTGTTCAGTTTTACGTTCTTTAAGTTTTGATATTTCATTTTATATGTGCAAATGTTAATGTGTGTTGGATATAAAATATTTCATAGATTTTTCCTTTTTTATTGTTTATTTTTTCATTGTGGTTGCATTTGTATCTATTAATAAAGTTATTTATTAAAATGGTAGACCACGACAGTTATTCCATAACACATGTAGTTCTCTACTCTTTTATTTTGATTATTTAATTGAAATCTTTTGATTTTCCTTACATTACTTATAAGTTCTATAAAAATTATGTTTGGATTAATTTTTTGGTGGATAATTAAGTATTTAAGAAGGCATAGAAATAAGGGCTAATAATTATGCTTATACATATATATATATTGGTATTCTTCAATTTTTAAAATTTCTATCATATTTTAATTCTCTATCTAGAATAGTTATTATGGTTGAATAGTAAATTACATTATTCTCTTTCTTCTGGTTGTTGAATAAGAGGTATGTTTTTCATTTATGCAAATTATTAATTTTCATATTTGTAATTATCTAATATGTTTGATTGTTTGTTTTCAGTTTTTAAATTTTTGTTTTATGTGCATGTCTTTGATTCTTTTCCTTCTTTTCCCTTTTACCCTAAACATATGTGCCAATAAATTATACTTAACAAGGAAAAAAAGAGTTAAAATATATTTTTTTGTTGTCATATGGTTGTAATGTATATGTACTATAAAAATCTTTATTTCTTCACTCCATATGTGTGGTGATTAAATTATTTTTAATTTATTCTAGACATTGGAAATCCTCGATTTGAAATTGTAAGTTAGAAATTGTTCTTAAGTAAGTAAAATACATGTACAAAACAAATCCTTATTCTCTCTTGTGAACATGCATGTTTTATGCTGAACACATGGAGTTATAACTTATAATGCATGCTTAATTAAACAATTTAAACGTACCTCTCTCTCTCTCATGTAATAAATTTCTCATAACTCTTATCTCTTTCACTCTCTCTCCCCCTTCCCCTTCCTCCTCCCTATATCTCTCATAACTCCCATATCTTCATTTTCTTAAAACACCTCTTTTTCTATATATATAGATTATTAGTATTTAATAGAATCTACATGTGAAAATAGGTTCATTGAATCTATTTATATAACCGAATATACCTATTTAAAAATATTATTTTAAATATCAAAATATATTTTAATGATTAATAACGTACATGCATATTACTAATCTTTACAATGGAAAAATCAATGTTTTAAAACCTGATTATTTCTAATCCACATCACCGATCTAAATTGGAATCAGTTGAGGTTGAACTGGTACTGGGATAGTTTGAGTCTAGCCCGTTTTCCCCCAAACCCCACCCCGTTTTAATGTTTTTGTGCACCATTGACTTGGACCGATCCAAATACATGGGTAAACGATCTGCCTCACCAATCTGAGTTTTAAACACCGACGAAAATGAACGACCTTATCGAGTGAGCAACATTTCAAAAGTAACGCTACGTTACCCTCAAGGGTGGTTGGTGATCCATCTCATGAGAAGTTATTTGTTTATCTCTTTTATTATTTTTTAAAAATGCCACTAAAATAACCATCAGAAAAAAAAACAATTTCATTATATTTTAGAAAAATATAAATCTCCAAGTTTCCGGTAAAGTCAAATAGAGCAATTTCGTTAAATTTAATGCGATCATGGGGTGTCCACAAGGATCCTAATTGCACTCCCATTGAAGAAGTAGCATATAATCTTCACCGTTCAAATTGTGCACCAAAGGTCGATGGCCTCCCAAAATAAAACCTTGGGATGCTGGTGGCCTTCTAAGATATTTCTGCAAAATTATTGGGTAAAATTTTCTCTCCTCCAAAATTTTGGAACTCCGGCAAATGGCAAATGGCGGGCGAATGAGACAGGCACCGTCAAAACTGGAGAGAGGAGAGAGAGAAAGAAGGGAGAGAGAGAGAAAGAAGGGAGAGAGAAAGTGCGAAGATAAACGTTGCAGGTTCCGCATGCGGACGCGGTGCCCTGCGGTAAGGGATCGAAAACGGCGGTTTCAAATAAGAAGCGGTTTCACGTTTTCTCCCTTCTCACGCAAAAGCGGTATTCACCAACAATCATCACCACCTCTCTCTCTATCCTTCCATATATCAAATGACTTAGAAATGAATCACAAATCTTGTTTTCCAATTAGTTCCTTCGCTTTGGTGCTTGTTCTTTGAAGGATTTATCCCTTCTGGTTTTTGCCTCTTTAGCTTCCATTTCTTCTGGTTCCAAACAGGTCTATGAACTGAGGAATCGGCTGCTTTTTATTGTTTTTCTCTGCATTACCTTTTCATCTACATTTGTTGCTTTGCTTTTTGTGTAATTGGATTGAATTTGATTTGGCACCTGAATCTGGTTTTACTTGCCTTCCCAGAATCTGATATATTTTGAAGGTGAATTTTGCACGTTGCAGAGAAAATGCCAGGTAATTTGCATTGTCTTTTCTTGTGCATTTCTAAATTTGAATCACATTCCTTGTAATCTTCAATCTGTTTTAGCTGTGTGTTTCATGGAGGAAGATGAGATTTGGATCTATTTTCGGTAAAACTTGCTGATCCCTTGTGTATTCCATGGAGGATGATGAAACTTCAATCGATTTTCTTTACAATTTCCATTCTATTTCCGTACGCTTCCTGGAGTTGATTTAAAATTTGCATGCGTAATATGTGCTAATTGATGGACGTCACAGCTGAAGAAGTCTGGAATCAAGAGGAGAGAAGAGAACGGAGATTGGATTTGGAGATTTCAGAGGATGAGAGGCGAAGAACAAAGATTGGATCTCTGAAGAAGAAGGCGATTGTTGCCTCCGCAAAATTCACTCATTCTCTTCGCAAAAGAGGGAAACGAAGAGTTGGAGGCAGGGTCCCTTCTGTTTCGATTGAAGATGTCAGAGATGCAGAGGAGGAGAGATCAGTTTGTGCCTTTCGACAAGCTCTGATAGCTCGGGATCTTTTGCCTCCTCAACATGATGATTACCATATGATGCTAAGGTAAGGTATCACCTGTAAGAAACTGAAGTATTATTTACATATATCTGCGATTGATTAGCTTTATAAAGGTTGCAGTACAGGGTTGAATCTTTGGTAGTAAACTAATTTTTGGTGAATTATCATACTGTGCATCAGTTGATTACAATGCATTGCCAGATTGCTCAGGTGATTTTCTGGATATCACAGAAAAGTTACTATTGAAAGAATAAAGCTATGGCCTAAAAGTCTAGGATGTAAGGTTTAGAGGCTTATGCTATACTAGAATTTGGCTCTGGTAAATAAGGAAGCAAACCGCTTGACATATTTTCTTAGAAAAAGGGAAGCCTTCGCCAAAGTAGTGCTATAGGTCTTAGAAAAATAACTTATGCTGATGCATTACCCAGAAGGAAAGCAGTCTTTATGTCTTTCCCGCATTGGCTGCCCACATATGTCCTTTAGAGTTTTATCAACTTGTTCTTATGCAGACTGCAAATATTTTAATAGGTCCTTTGGCCACACATCTATTCTTGGTTTTGTTCCTTACTAGATGGGAATAAAATATGCTTACGTTTCTTATGAAAATGTGATGAAGCAAGCTGAACAACACTACTCCTTATGTTTTCTTTGATGCATTTGAATGAAAAGATTACGGTTGATGACAAAGATTATGGATGGATAACAAGGGGCTTGCATTGATTGTTGGTTCATGGTTTAAGTGCGGATGTGGAAGTGTTTGAATGGATGGTTGAGCTCTTGACATGTATCTCTAGTTGTCTCTTTGTTTTGGTTACATTAGAGAAAGGACTAGGACTTCGTGAATGGAAGTGTTAATTACAGTAAATTTTTGAAGACTCCTTTGAGTCAGGAAATCGGTCTATGGATTTTGAGGCATCAAGCAGTTAACATGATGAGTCTCAGCTATTACATTGAGAAGAATGAGGAGGATAAATTTGTTTGGAGAAGATGGAGGAGAAGATAAATGCAACTGTAATGGAAAATCAAAATGTTAAGGGATGAAGGAGAAGATGGGATGGACAGGCAACTGAAATGTACTTGATATAAAGGTAGATGAAAATGGAAGAGGAAATAAGAACAAAGAGGTAAATTGTCTAAATTTCTTAGGATCTAGAGGGGATGATGGACTTTGAGGGGAACATTATGAATGCCGAATGCTTTGGGTGTGTTTCATTTGTTTCTACTGGAAAACATATGAACAATATTATATGAGGGATCTGGGAAGGAGTAATGATGATGGAAGGTCATGTTAAGCGGCATTCTAAAGCTTGGAAAAATTTCTAACGTTTGACATGCACCTCGATATTTGTGGATGTGTACCATTTGTTTATGTATGCGTTTTGGGCCATCTATTTCGGGCGCAATTCCCTCTTTTTTGATCAACAGTCAATTATATTCTCTGTTCTTACATTGTATTCGATATGTGCAAACAAATCCAATTGCTACCTCTGCAAATTCTAGTCTAATTTATATGAGAGCTATCCATAATCAGATCCACCATAAAATTTGGATTTTTTATCAACAATGTTCCGTAGATCCATTGTGCATGATTTGCAGGATTAAAACTTTAAATTGTGAAAATTGATAAAGAAGGCTTCAAACTTGTTTGTCCCATTTGGTAGGTTTTAGTTCTTTGAGAGAAGTTATTTTGCCAAGTTTCAAGACTGTTGGATCTTTGATGAGGAAGATCTTGCATCTTTTTAGTTTCTTGATTCTTTTGTTGTCCTGTTTGGAATTTTAGGGAAGAGTAGAATTGTGCTGAGATTTCATACAAATGTTGTTGTTTTTTCTTTTGATTAATTGTTAGAAAATGTTAATGTTACAACACTTGCTGCTACTATTTAACAATTGTTTGTCCACACCTGACATCTTTGGCATTGAAGATTAGAACATTTCTTTGATAGACCCGAGGAAGTGTTCAGTTTTTGTGTACTTGACATTTCGTATTACTTTTCTGAAAACTTCAATAATGTGTTGGATTGCAGTAGTTGTAAATGGGCAAAATGGTTCATAGTTCCATTTTACATTTTTGGGGATAAAGGTTGTGCTATGTTTGATAATTCCTTCAGGATATTTAGGATCTCATCCTTATGTTATATTTGTTGATGATTTCACTAGTTACAATTGGGTGTTATTTAACTATAAATGCCACACGTAACATGTCATGTTTCATGAAATGATTCAAACCTAGTTTAAGAAGACCACCAAGATCATTCTTACTGATTGCGAGTTAGAAACCCCTGTTCAGCTAAATGAAGTTCACCAGTTTCAGCTAAATAGGACCCTCATAGATTTCACAGAGAGATTTATGACTAAGGAACCAGTGTTCCGGAAAATGGAAGTCCTTTAAGATTTGATTGAGAAATTATGTGTCAGAAGCCCTTCCAGCAAGTTGGGATCTTTGATAGCACTTTTATGTTGAACATCCCTTGGAGAGAGATATGATATGGGCTGGTCAATCCTAAGGATCAATTGTATTTGTTGACTTTTGTTTTTAGAGAGAGTGCAAAAGAAGCTGGTTTTCCCACTGGGAAAGTTTTGGCACAGTGCTGGTGTGATGTGTCTTGGTAGTATCCAGAAAATGACAAAGGAAGATTCTTCATCATCTTCTATAAGGAGCAATATGTTCCAAAGGCCTCAAAGATGGAGACCTTTGCAATGGGGCAAGGGTCTTAGTTCTCTGGACATGTTATCTAGAATGGATCAAAAGCATATGGAGGCATGAAGAATATTTAAGAAGTGTTTATATTTTTCTAAAGTTTTATAGGGAGTTTATGGGGGATTTCGGATGAGTCTGGCAGTTGCTTTGTGGTTTCGAAATATCTACAAATAAAGAGTAAAATGGAGGAGCATGGAATATTAGGAGATTTTTAAGTTGTAAAGTATTTGATGGATGTCATCATGGTTTGATCTTAGCCGATGAGTCTACGGGATTGGCCTATTCAAAGTGATGAGCTCCTCATTTGTAAGCAATCCTTCAGAAGCTGTATTCCCTTGGTTGAAGAATGAATGTGCCCCTCATTATATTCTTCAAGGTTCAGCAATATTAAGAGAGTTATATTCACTGCTGCAATGCTAGCCCCATGGCTATAGCTAGGGAGAGTGTGAAGGTGGAATAATATCCCTAGTAAGTTTGCATGTGAGCTCAAGGTGTTGGATTGGAGTGCTGAGGGCGGGAGAGTTGCGAGGCTAACTTAGTCGATGAGCAAATACCAACCATGTGCAGCATCTGTTTGCTGCAGTGAAAGACATGAACTGTGTGAGCCGGTCCTTTGCAAGCTCTTGAATATTGGATGAAAATATAGTTTTAGTTGCTATTGCTTGCCTGTACCACAAAATAAGACATGTATATGGAAAATGAAATTCATCATCCCCTATTTCGTGCTTCATAACTTTTACAATGATGATTTGTTCTTTTATGGAGGCTCAAAAGTGAATATCCTATTGCCTGCTATATCGATTGTGGGACACTGTGGGGTATCTGTGGGGTATCCCAAAGCAGCGGAAACAATACTAGAAATACACGTTCACAAGACTGGATGGGAGTTGCATATATTTGTACAGATCTGATCTCCCTTTTTTGTGCCAATCAATGAATGAAAGTTTTATTGGTAAACCAAAAATAATATTAATTCGTAATTATTAATTTATCAAAAATGCTTTTTACCTGTGATAGTAATTATTAATTTATTGGTAAACCAAAAAATAATATTAATTCATAATTATTATTGTATAGTATATACAATAAAATAGGGGGAGGTATGGGGATCCAACTTTTTTTTTTAAAAAAGAAACACAGACCGCCTTTGGGTCTGGGCGCCGGCCTTAGCGCCTTGGCGGCCCAGAGTCCAAACCACCTAGCGGCCTAGAGCCCAAACCACCTAGGCAGGCGGCCTATGCCTTTTTGAACATTGGTGCCAATCGCTCACTTTCACGTGTTGAGAGTTCAATGATGCCTCCTTAGGCCTCCCTCTTTTGATTACTGTACCATGAAGATTTTTCACATGCAAATCTTGAACCTTAATGGATGACCCGAGAGTTATGGCTTTCACCTGAAGGGGTCTTGGGTTGTTTTTGTAAGAGAGAAAATAGAAAAGGGTTTTGGGAGGTACATGCAAACAACCTCTCTCTCTCTCTCTCTCTACAACTTCCTTTTTATTGAGGAACCCTCTTCCTTGATTCCCTCCCCATGTGGTTTTCACAATCTAATTGGAAGTCAATCCAATTAACCATGTGGAGTTATCTTTCTCAAGATTGGATAAGTCTTCAACCAACCAACTCAATTCCAAAAATTCCTCTCTTTCCTGTACCCATGACAAAGAGTGTAATTCCATGGACCAACCCACAAGGGGTAGACTGTCCAAATCAATAGCGATGGAGGTGAAAGCTTTCAGTTGTTGAGATCGATGAGAATGTGTCACATGCAAGGAAGATTTGTATGTCTGAAACTATTAACAATTGTTTATGAGAAGGTTAACATTATTAAAAAAAAAAAACAATTGTTTATGAGATTTAGGAAAGAGAAAGATTATAAATTTCAAAGGTTTCATGAAGTCAGTCCTATAGAAGTCTAGTACCATAAGTAGTTTTAGGAATGATATGTTGGCTGTTAGCAGAGGTAGTTTTAGAGGGTAAGAACAATGTTGTTAGATTTGCTTTAGGGTCTTCTTTGGTTTAGTGAGAAAAATGAAGCAATTCGGTACTTCGGCCTATTCAGGGGAAGACTTTGGATTTTTTTTTTAATTTACCATAAATAAATTAGATATTATATAAAAATGTATAAAAATAATAAAAAATTAAAAATAAAAATTTCAAAAAAAGTAAAAAAAATACTTTTATATAGATATTTCTTTGCTTAGGATGAAGAGGCCGAAGCTTCGGCCAATTCGGCCCGAAGTAGACCCGAATCTGACCGAACCCCTCCGAAGCGGACCGAATCTGACTGAAGCGGCAGCACCAGGCTTCACTTCGCTTCGGTCTAGGCCTAAAATTCAAGCAAATTTGACAACATTGGTTAAGGGGCAACTGATGGGCACTGACAGAATCTTCTTTTCTAGCCTATTTAGATAAGTTGATACTCTGCATTCAGATGTATAAAACTAAGTTTTGATGGGTGCGGGTGGGGGACCTACACCTAGATATGGCATGGTCTTTTTCTTATTTTGTCCTTTTCTATGTTGTGAATGTGCAGGTGTAGATGAGGTGTCAAATATGTGGTAGTATATGAAACTATGTTTTGAATATTTGAAGCTTTGAATGATTCTTTTGACCAATTACTGATTGAAGGGGAAGCTGTCAATATTATGTTGGCATTAGGAGGAAGATAACCTGTCTAGAGTTGGTTATATGTGTTTAGTTCCATTCATTATTTTTTCAATAAAAAACTCAGGGCAGCCACCCAATTGGTTTCTCCTGTATCTGGTATCTCATTCCTACTCAAAGGGACAATGAGTTTCGTGTGCTTTATCTTTGAAAACATTAAGAAGAAAGATTGGCCACAGTTTAAATGGAAAGATGAGGATCCATCATAGTTAAGGTGTTTCGAACATGATTCTCCATGATTAACGCTTCGTATGGAGGATTATATCTGGTAATCTTATTTAAAGCATTAAAGGACCCTAAAGCCAACAATTTATCCTGTATACCATATTTAAATATCTCGCTAAATGATTTCAAAGAGGCATTGCTCAAGAGTGTTTTCTTTTTTTAACTTTTTTAAAAAGGAAGTGGTCAAATAATGTACTGTGCTTTTTATATCATAGGTAGTCCTTTTTCCATTTTTTTCTTATTCTTAATTCATTTTTGCTCCATATTGTCATGATTTTTCTATTTCCATCTGTCCTCAACCATAATGGCTTCTATTCATGTTAGTGATACAGATTTTTGAAGGCAAGGAAGTTTGACATTGAGAAAACAATCCATATGTGGGCTGCAATGCTACAATGGAGGAAAGACCATGGGACTGATTCCATCTTTCAGGTGAGAGTAAGGCCACAGTTTTTCTTCCATGTGTTTTAATTGCCTTCCACTTTTGGATCGAAGCTGCTGCACTGCTCTCATGCTATCATATGCTGTTTTGACATTAATTCATTATTATTTAGGAATTTTACAGGATCAGAAATTAAACTCGGAACACCTACATGTGACCCATAGGTGCCTCACACATGTGACCCATAGGTGAAAAATGATTGTTTTGCCACTTCATTTTATGTTAAAGCCAAGTTATGTCATAGTTTGTCAGAAAGAGTATATACACCATTTCTGTTATCAAAATATACAGAACTACTCTTTTTACCTCCATCATTGGTATGTATAGTACTAAAAAACTGTAAAAATCCATGTTATTTATTGCTTGTCATGTTGTGGAATATTTTGTTGTTTTCCTCATTTAGTATATGAATTACCATAAGCAAATTTGTGGACTTACTATTTTGTTTGAGCATGATCTTAGTAATGAATTTGCTACCCATTAGTGTTGTCTTTTAGTGTAAGACAAGTTCCTTTCATAGTTCACTGTTTCTGAAAATGGGAATATGGTTATTATGGCAGGACTTCAATTTTGAGGAATTGGAAGAGGTGCTTCGGTATTATCCCCAAGGTTATCATGGGGTTGACAAGGAGGGAAGACCTGTTTACATTGAACTGCTTGGCAAAGTTGAACCAAACAAGCTGATGACTGTTACAACAATTGACCGCTACTTAAAATACCATGTACAGGAGTTTGAGAGGGCATTGTGTGAGAGGTTTCCAGCTTGTTCTATTGCAGCGAGGAGGCACATAAATTCCACAACTACTATATTAGATGTGCATGGTGTGGTATGTTATTTCTGTAGTTTTCTTAACTAGGCTGATTTATAGGTTGGCAAGTCGATTTTAGAATCAGAAGGCATTACTGTCCTCTAAAATAGAGGAAAGAGAATATATCTGATGTTTATTTTTTTGTTCCTGATGTGGTGGCTTCTTTCACACCTGTTGATTTTATTGTTAATGATGTAGGGTTTGAAGAATTTTAGCAAAGCTGCACGCGATCTTGTTAACCGTATGCAGAAAATTGACACTGATAATTATCCTGAGGTAAATGAATACTGTTCATTGGTCATGTAATCCATGTTCTCCTGTTCCCTTTCCTCATGTCTTATATCTCTTACAGACATTACATCAGATGTTCATTGTAAACGCGGGCCATGGATTCAGATTGCTCTGGAACTCCATGAAAAGTTTTTTAGACCCGAGGACTACGGCAAAGATACATGTATGGACAAGTTATACCATGGCAATTCTGTTATCTTGCGCTGTTGCAAGCTTGCAGGGATTAACTGGGAACCATATCTTGCTGATTTTGCAGGTTCTAGGAAACAAGTACCAATCTAAGCTGCTTGAAATCATTGACTCAAGGTCTGTATTCCGTACGTTTCTACAATGCTTTTCTTTCCTTTGAATTAATTCCGTCATAAATTGTATATCCTGAGTCGTTGATGTGACTTTGTTTTTGAATTATTTTTTTGACAGCCAATTGCCTGGTTTCCTTGGTGGGTCATGCACTTGTCCAAATGAAGGCGGGTGTCTTAGGTCTGATAAAGGACCATGGAACGATCCTCAAATAATTAAGGTGTGCTCTTGAAATTTCTTACTATCACTCGTTCCATGCATTTTCTTCAGTTATTACTATTTGATGTAGAAATGCTTCATCCTTTGCCTTGATTTGCAGCTGGTGCGTTACGGGGAAGCATCTTTCCTAAGGCAAATTACAAAAGTAGCTAATGAAGGGAAGATAAAGTCCTATATTAAATTTCAGTTATTGAAGGTAAATTTTACTATTAGACTGTTTAGTAGGCGTTATTCCTATCTAAGCAATATCCATATTGAAAATGGTGGTTTTCTTGTTTCTCTCCTCTTAGAAACAGGGCTTAAGTAGTGAAATATCTACTGCAGAGTCAGGATCAGATGATGATGTTGATTCTCCTTCTAGGCCAAGTGGTTCTATGTTCACGCGACCATCTCTAGTTCATGACGAAGTGAGTTTTTGGTTGTGGATATTCATTTATCTGAAATTTGGGCTGTTTTTCTAAAATAACGTAGAAAGATTTTTTTATTAATCTTCAGTCTCATATAGTTCTCTTAAAGATTCCCAACAAAGTTGAAATGTGTGAGAAGAAAAGCTCTACTGTATGCAATTATCTTGAGTTGTCCTTACTCTGTTCTGACTGTTTTTTTTTTGAGAAGGTGAACTGGATTTTTTTTTTTTATGGTTATTTCAGTGGGGAAGACAGCCCTGCCTGTTTTTTTTTGAATTAGTCCGTATGTTTTTGAACCTGTCAGTAGGAATGGAAGCCACAACCAACTAACGTTTGGGGTGTGCTACACCACGACCTCAGCCCCTTTCCCTACGTTGTTCTGACTGTTGTTTTCATCAGCATATTTTCTTCTAATTTATCAAAAATTTTCCGTGTACAAAAATATTTTCTCCTTTCATTCCTATTCTCGTTATATTCTTTACCAAGGATAGATGGAAAACATGTTCCCATAAGGATGTTTTAAAATGAGGAAATATGTTTTTTCTCAAAAGCCAATGCATTTCCATTTGACAAAATATTTGTTTTCTTGGGGTAATCTAAGGATGCTCTGATGGCTAGAGAGATCACTGGATGGAAGTCAAAATAATGGACAAACAATTCATGGTTTCTCCTATCAATTTTTTTTAAAGAAGATAGCACAGAATTCGTAGCAGAAACAGGTCATGTAGTAATACTGGAATGTCATGTGGTTATTGTATCAGACAACTATAATAAAGAATTTCGTTTGATCATCTTGTATCGACATTATTGAGAGGTAGGAATCAGGGTGAGCGACTCAATTTTTCATTATACTGTTGCAGTTTGTATCATTATTTATTTGGTGCAGAAGGCGAAATAGTCATGTCATTGGATATATGAAAGTCACGACTGACTACATTTTGGACATCAGTCATTATGAACATTTTATTTACTCATCTGAGTTTTGATCTGATATTAGGTGACCAAAGGTATCAATACAAGGTTTAGTAGTGATGCAGGTTCATCTAGATTTCAGACCTAGGATTTAGAAGTCCTTTTATTAGATAATGTTGCAGGTCGTTGATTGTCAAATCTACATGGTGATGAAAATGAAAAAGATGATGGATGGATATCTTGTATTTGCACGTCAATACTATCTTTAATCATGTTCCTTTTTTTGTTGATATGGTTTTAGTGCGATCTGAATTTGGATTTATCATTATATAGATTTTTTATTATCTGAAATTTGTAACTTGTTGGTAAAAAATTCTTTTCTAAGAAACTGATTTATGTAAGTGAGGGTGATTCATGTGCATTTTGGACACGAGGATGCTAACTGAAGTTTTGGTGCCGTTTTGAATTGCATATTTTTGCCCAAAAATTACTATTAGTTTTTTGCATCAAGCTTTCCCGTAGTTGGTGTTTTAACTGTTTCTTTGAAAAACATACTATCAATCTGTGAGGTCCAGATGGAAGTTGTGAATAAAACTGAGTGTGTCAAATTTTATTCATTTAAAATGAAAAGTAGAAATACAAAACCCCATGTAATTTTATTCGATCTTACTCAGTATTTTAAAAAACTATTACATCTTCTATGTGTGTGTCCTTCTATAAACGACTATATTAGCTTAGATGGAAAATGTGTAGTTACTTCGCATGAACTCCTGTATGCTATGGCTATATTGTATGTACATACAAATGTGTACATAGATATGCGTGACTGGAAGTTATGTAGGTGTTCTGGACCCTAGGAATATTTTGGAGTCTCCCAATTATCTCTTTGTGATTGAGTTTTAAACCAGAATTTTGCATTATCCTCAACCTTCAACCAAAAAAAAGAAAAGAAGTTTTCATTATCCTCATTGTTTCTATTTGTTGTCAACAACGATATGGCACATGACATTCATCTCTTGCTTCGTACTGATCGATTATGCAGGTCATAAGGGCCGATAACGCTTTTCGACATCACTGTGATGCCCCAATTTCTTTGTTTAATAGAGTTGAGGATGACTCAGGTCAAGGGTTGACCGCAATGCCATCTTGCAATGATGCACATGGCAGGGTCAATGCATCACCATCATATTCAGAAGGTATTCATTGAAAAGATGTACTACAATGCTTGCATTCATTCCATCTGCTAGTTCTTATCTGATCCCATCCCAATAGAACAATCAAGACATCTTTACTTTCACTTGCATGTTCTGTCTGTTATGATCTTAATATTCCATTTTAAAAAATTCAACTCAGCCTGTGACTTCATTGAAGCAAAAATGGAATCAAATTGTGACTTGGTAAGCTGCTATTCCGGCCCATGTTTTAGTTGCTCCCACCAAAAAAAAAGGTGGCCCACATGCTTTGTGTGGGAAGAGCAAACGCATGGGTGAGAGAGCAGGCCTCTTTTCAAAAACTAAAATATCCTGAAAAAGCTAAATCATCATCTATCATCCAATCCTTATCCCAATTATTTGGGATCAGCTTATCCAGAAAAAGCTAAATAAATGGGGAAAAATAACAAGTTATGGTGACTAAAGTTACTACCACGTTGAGTTGACTTGAACTCTACTCAGTATGGTACTTATAAATCACCATTTAATATTTTTTGTGCTTTAACCTTCTACTAGGTGCTCCAAAAAGACAGGTTACACGGAGACAATTTTCACAGAGATTACTTCTGCATATAGCAGAACTGGTTGCAGGGTTCTTGGTGAAACTTCTAGCTGTTTTCCGTACTGTATTTTGTAGTCTTGGGAGAGTAGTTCCTGATGGCCATAATAATACAAATGCAATGGTGCCCTCATCCGACAATTTCAATGACAATGTATCCATGGAAAGTAATGGGAGTTCTGATACTCTGCAAATCTCGGAGGAAAATTCTGTTCTTCCATGCTTGGAGAGGCTACAGAGTTTGGAAGCAGTTGTTTCAGAACTATGTCTAAAGCCTTTAAGACTCCCCCAAGAAAAAGATGATATGCTGCTGGATTCTTTGCATCGTATCAAATGTATAGAGTACGACTTAGCGAAGACGAAGAAGGTAAGCCTCATGTCTCACTTGGTCTGCACATTCTTGATTGTCTAATCTCCATTAATCTCTTCTGGTTATTGTTATTGCTCTCTCTCTCTCTCGATAAATCAATGATTGTTGCTTTTAGTATGAGCACTGTTTACTTTTATCGTCATGTTTGTTTCTGTTTTTCGCTGCAGGCCTTGCATGCAACAGCATCAAAACAGATGGACATTGTGGAGTCAATAACCACTTTGAAGGAAACAAGTGTGCAGGTGAGTTAATGTTTATATGAATCACCGCAAGAACAACCCCCATCTTTCAGGAAAGGAGAATATAGTGTACATTTTTTTTTAAATGACTAATAGTAAGTAAACTGGATCTTTCAAGGGAAACAAAGGTTGGAACGTACTTTATATATATATATATATATATATGGCAACATTTGTTTCTCTTAATGATAATGACATGAATCAACGCGCTCTTATGGATCAACGTGATCTTATGGAAGAGGACCTACAACATTGCAAATGTAGCAATATATTTTGTATCTTATGATCATGTGATGATGAATTGAAAATGTCTTAGCAAGAACCATCATTTGCTCTTTCAACAAGAAGTTGGTTGTAAGAGTTTCCTATTTTAAAAACTGGGTTTCTTTGTTACCTCTGAGAGTTCATATATTATGCTCACAACACAGACAAAGTAGTATTAAACTGCATAATAAAGAGAATTTTATGGGTTCTCTTTCTTCCCACCTCTTTCTGTTCACTTGTTTTATAATTTGGTGGTAAAGAGTAGGTGCTGTATTTGGTGTTAACTAAGGCACGTTTATGTTGATATGTTGTTTATAATCTACTGCAGAGAAGGACATTTTGTTGGTTGAATGATCGTAATTACATTTTAGGGGGCAGTTGAAGGCCTGTTTTGTTATCTGCAATCTACATCCCACTATATGACGGTGTAACTGCGAATTACCCACTCACACACATACCTGTATATGATTGTGTCATGAAGTACAGATAATATTGGAATAATGAAGGTAACTTCCAAGTATTTTCTTTTTTGTTTCTCTTTCTTTCCTGACTTTGCATCACTTTGGCCAGGTGATTTCATCCCTAATTTGGGTTGTCATTTTCAGGGTGAAATTGAGTGCTCATTAGAGCTATCTTGTGATTCACCACACATACCCACCGGATTCCTTGCAAAGAGAAAGTGGTTCTCTGATTCTCTGTTTACATTCATTTTCATTTGTGGTGTTTCTAAACTACATCAACAGCCAACAAGATATTCTATAGGTGCAAGTGTACATTCTTTCTACTTCACCGGCATATGAATGAGGCCTTTGTTCTTTTTCCCCTCTTCTTCTCTTGATTACTCAAGCAATTTTTAATATGGGTGAGGTTTGTATAAGATTGACTCTTTATATTGTAGAAATAAGGTGCATCTATAAAATTTACTTAGATGTCGTTTCCGCATCTAAAACCTTATGATGGTTTCAAAATCTCTTTTTATCTTTAGTTATAAAATTTAAAATTTAAAAAATGGTACTGATGGAGATCAAGAAATACTTAAAAATCTTGAAAATAGATGGTCCAGATAACTTATTACAAGATGCATTATTTTCTAGACTTGATATTTTTTGTTTCTTCATGTCCATTCGTCGAGATGATCACTTGAAAGGTTATCTTACTCTGGAATACTCTATTGTAGGATTTTTGAGGTGCACTTACGGTATGAGGTTGCAACCTTATATAAACTTTTTTTCCTTTTAATTATGTGGCCTGAGCATACTTTGCGGGTGTAAATAACAATGTTGTAGTATGTTTGGTTGCCACACGTGTTCGTTTTGATTTTTTTGGTTTGAGAAAAGCTAAAAGATATTCTACTCCCTCCGGAGTATATTGTCCATTTACTTCCAGGGTAAACCCCACCTAGGATACTGTTTTAGGACCCCAAATTTGGGGGTTATAACCCCTTTAACATATAGATTAATCTTAATAAGTTTTTTTTTCCTAATTGCCCTCTTAAGTACTTCAAAAAAAATATGTTTCAAGATTGAATAAAAGCTTTCCAATTCTAAAGGGTGACATCTAAGTGCCAAAATTCAAATTTGAATTTTTTTGTGAGAATAATCATCTAATGATTATAACGTGGTTACCAAAATATCAGATTGAAAAGAAAAACCTCCCAAGTAGGTCATCTAATCGAGGGAGTCGATGCAGTGTAGGGTTAATTTATTTTTTGTAAGTATGAGTTTCAAACAAGGTTAGAAAAATTGGGCCATTTAACTGTTAATTGCTCAGTCCAGTTAGATTGGAATTGGCTATTGGTTGGTTCCGGTTTTAGGTAGTTTTGATGATTGACCGGTATTAAAAAAAAAAAAGTATATAAAATTTCAAAAATAAGGAATATGATATATAATGTATTTTTTAATATTTTTTACATTATGGTAAAGATTAAAAATTGTTTTAGTCAACAATATGTTGTGGGTAATTTGTTAAAATCTATTTTTTCCTATTAATTTTCAACTTCATTTGAGTGTTTTGTTTTAATCATTCTGTGCTTTCATATTTTAGTAGAGGTTTTTTTTTATATATTTTTTTATGTTTTTAGTATTTTTTAATCGCCCGAGACTTGTTTAGTTATAACCGTTAGAATTGTCCGGTTTATTTCAGCGGTTAAACCGCTTTCAGGCCCACGTACCGTTCCGTTTCGATTTTGGTTTCAAAACTATTTTCTTGTTTCTCTTTATTTTATTGATGCTCTTTTGTGGGGCCTTTTGGACCACGACCTTTTGACATCCTTTTTTCACTCTATTTTCACCGTATTTAATTCTGGTACCTCATGCTTACATCATCAGTATACGTCATGCTTGCATTTTTTTTTTCTTTGCCTAACTTGGCACCTCTCTCTTTCCCTCTCCATGTTCGACTCCTTCTCACTCTCCAGTCGCCACGTTTAAGGGCTTTAAAATAAGAAAAACGTTTTTATAAGGTGAAACCTTATATTGTACAAGGTACACCTAAAAAACCTTTTAGAACGCTCAAATTAGTCATATGGACTCCAAGATTTATGGATATGACAAAATTCGGATTTCTGGTCTAAAAATTGTTCATCTTCCAACACATTATATAGATCGTCCGCTTTTAAAATTTTCAAGTTTTTATAGGTGTGCTTGATCACTATTTATGGAACTTTAAATTTCACAATTAAAAAAACAGTAGATTTTCATATCATTGCAAGGCTTTGTGGCACTGAAATTATATTTTTACCTTAGTTATAAGGTACACTTTACTTCAATGGTATAAGTTTGACACCTTTCACAAACCTCACCATTAAAATAATATTTATCTCATATACAAAGGCTAGAGAGAGAGAGATGTTTGATAAAGAAGGATGATTAAAGATACACCTCAAAAATACATCATAAAAGATTGTTTGGATGTTCGAAAACCCTCTAATTGATCATCTTGACATCGAGAAGTATGAAAGTGAAAAGAATAAAGGATTTCAAGTCGCGAAATAGTTTATCTTACAACACATTATCTAGACCATCTATTTTCAAGACTTTCATGTGTTTATAGATCTACTTGATTTGAACAATTTTTAAAGTTTAAAAATCTATAATTAGAGATGAAAATAGATGGGTATTTTGAAATAGGATAGGTATTTTTTAAAGATGTCAATTCTATTTACTGTAAAATTGAGCTCTTGTGTGTGTAAATTTGCAACAATTTGATAGTGAGATCCATATAATTTTGCTGCAATTTTAAGTGAGTTTTTGAGCATCCAACTCAGTAACTCAGGAAAACTTTGATCTGGTTGTATCTTATGGGTGTGTTTACCAAAAACCCTATCGCATCTCGTAATTGAACCGAATAGGGATTGATCAACAATTCAAAGAAAGCGAGCTTCTCTTATGTCTTCAGGGGGTGTGTTCACCAAAGACCCTATTGCATCTCAGAATTTTACTGGTAGGGGGTGCTCAACACTTCGAACAAAGTGAGCTCATCTTATGTGTTCAGGTCCCGAACACACACCGTCATTGTATATAACTTTTGAAACTTGTTTCAATTCCTAAGGGAATTCGACTGGTACTAGAAGCGCTTTTATTGCGAGATATAATCTCAATAACCTATTCTAATTCCTGCGGGGATTAAGGAATTCGACTGGTACTAGAAGCGCTTTTATTGCGAGATATAATCTCAATAACCTATTCTAATTCCTGCGGGGATTAAACTAGTACTAGGAGTGTTTTAGTATTTTTCTTCTGACACTAATCCCGGATAAGGGGAGGTGCTGCCGAGTTTTGGGAAATAGAGCGACAGCGAAACGGTATAATTTCTCATACATAGCACACACGTTCTTTAGAAATAGTGAGACTTATATGTATGCGATTAAAACAGATATTTCTTAATTTTTTTCACTCACTAAATGATTGCACTTTAGTATCAGCACCTAAATGGGGGTAAAATGGGCACCTAAAAATACCTTGGAATGCATTCTGGCTATCACTTACAAAGCCATGTCAATTGCCTGAACATGTATTATAGTGGCATCTAGATAAAGCCCTCACAGATGGTTTTTCGGGAGACTTATCAAAACACCCATACGAGATGAAGTGCTTATCATTTTGCCCATTTGCAACCATTTCACCTCAAGGTCATGCATTTCTTAATGGGTATTTTAAAATGCAAAATTATTCTCATAGGTAATTTGATAAATTTTTTTAAATTTTATGCCGCCTCAAACTATAGTTTGGTACTATGCAAGTTAGGCATACCTCTAAATTTAGTAAGGCACTTGAGGTTTGTATAAGGTGCCTACTTTATACTATGCAAGTAAGGCGTACCTCTAAATTTCAACGAAAGATATAGTTATGGTGTTGGGAATTTTACAATGGCTAAAAAATCTATGTCGAAGTCTAATTATGAGATTTTAAAATTTAAAAGTAGTGCATTTCAAGCATATCTAAACATTTGAAAATCTAGAAAAAAGACCGTTTAGATAACTTGTTACAAGATACACTATTTTTAAGACTCAAAATTCTTTTTTATTTTTTGTTTTATATCCATTCATCTCAAAGTTGAGATGATCAATTAGAAGGCTTTCCAACTTAGGAAAACTCTTTTCTATTGGATTTTGAGGTACACCTTACTTCTAAGGATACAACCTTATATTAAACTTTTTCCTAAACAAAATACCAGTTGGAAAAGTCTTTTCTATTGGATTTTGAGGTACACCTTACTTCTAAGGATACAACCTTATATTAAATTTTTTCCTAAACAAAATGCTAGTTTTCACTCTGTGTAAGTAGCGTTGAGCTATTGTAACCCAGGATTAGCAGGTATTGGAGGTATTCCGTGCTACTGCTTTGGGAATGTTATTTTTTCTTATACCGGTCTTATTGGTATTGCTACAGCTAACTATGCCGAACTCAATGCATTGCTTTGTGGATTGACACTTTTCATTGAGAGGCATAGGGGCAGAAATTGTACTTTTGAAGATGACTCTTTAAATGTTATTAAATGGTGTAATAAGGAACAGAGAGTGCCGTGGCAGTTACAATCCCTATTGTTGGAGGTTATGGATCTGGTTGCTAATGAAGTGGTATCTTTTGTCCATGTTTATAGAGAGACTAATGATGTAGCGGATTGCCTTGCAAAAAGATGCAGTTCTCTATCTTATCTTTTAGTTTCTGATGATGCAATCTCCTTTTCGTAATTTGAATAAAATTATTGATGTTAGGTAAAAAAAAAAAAAAGAAAAAAAAAAAAGAAAAAACAAAACAAAACAGCGTTGAGCTATTGCATGTAAAGAGATCAACCTACATCTCAATATTTAAATTAAAAAAAGGCGGTGGTGAAAAGGGTTCTCATTTTTCACTCGTGATTGTGCTAATTCAAGCCATATCCTCAGTGAAGGTGAGGATTTTATATCACACTCAATGATAATCAAAATAGAACTTTAGAAAGCATAGTGGGCAAGCTAATGGAGATTGGTCTTAATGACTTCCATGCTTAATGCTTAAAGATCCAAAAGCAAGCACAATCTTTCCTTTCTAGTGATACCCACATTTCAGTTTCTTGCATGACCATCCTTCTGATCTAGTCGAAGACCAAGAAAACAAGTTCAGACGGTTGGTCTTACGAAATTCTATAGCCAAAACATGAAAGGCATGATGGTAACACCACCAGGAAATTCTATAGCCGGTGATGGTAGCACCACCTTTGCCCTAACAACGGTATCGGCTCCATTCTCATCTAATGCATTAAAAATTTCTAGTTAAGGTCTCGGCTTCTATTTTCACTTAATCGCATTAAAAAATTTTAGTTAAGGTCTCGACTTCCATTC